AAGTGAGGGAGGGGCAGAGAGAGAGACACACACAGAATCCGAAGCGGGTTCCGGGCTCCGAGCTGTCAGCACAGAGCCCGAGGCCGGGCTCGAACTCACGAACCCTGAGATCATGACCAGAGCTGCTTAACTGAGCCACCCAGGCGCCCCCAACTTTTAACTTTTTAAACTAACCTGTCAGGCCCAGATTGTTCCAGGGAACTGGGAGAACTTCCCTCTCACTTCTTTGGCTTGTGACCCTGACCCAGGGTGGGTGCAGGGCGGGCTTGCTCGAGGCCACGAGGTGTCAGGTGGGGTTCGCGAGAACGACGACGCAGCAGGGCCCGGGGAGAGTCTCCACCACCACCTCCTGGGTTCGTCTGTCCCTCAGCCAGAAAGGGACTGCGGAAGGGGCTCACTAGCAAGTGACTCAGCCGGGGGAGCGCGGCCTAGAGCTCGGAGGGGCCCCCGCGACCGGATGGGCGCAGGGCACGCTCTCCAGGCCTCTGGTCTCCCCTCCGCTTACCAGGAGGCGCCTGGAAGCGACAGCTTCCGTCTGTGTGGCCCACCCACCCCGGGGTGCTCGCCTTGGGCCACCGGCCTGGCCACTCTCCTCGGTTGGGGGCCGAGCGGTCTTACCAGGAAAAGCTGGTGAGTTCGCCCCGAATGGCTGCTCCCTGCGCGCAGACAACCGGCTGGAACCAGGAGGGAGCGGCCAGGTCCCGGGCCAGGCTCTCCAGGCTGGGGCCGCGCCCCTTCCTCTGGCCTCAGTTTCTCCACCACATGAGGACGTCAGGATTAACCCACCGGGTCCTCCCAAGCGTCAAACAGAATCAACAGGCGGTTGCCTTCCAGTCCCTGCGGCAAGTCCTAGAAATGAGCAGGAGCGTCTGGGGGAAAAGACTGTAAGAGGCCTTCAAGTTTTAAGAGCTTCGAGTCTCAATCCACAGGATGCAGCCTGTTAGACTACAGGAAGACACGGGATTATAAATCCGCACAATCATTACGTCTTTTATTTACACGTAGACATCAGTAAGACTTGAAACAAAACCAAATGCGACCTGTACGGAAATTCTTTAATTCTCTTTATTTTCACACATTAAAAAATGAAACACACTATACAAATGGTTTTTCATAGCAGACTACACGTGGGTCCGTGAGACTTGCTCTCAAAGGGGGTGCTGCCAACGCCGATGCCCGAGGACGGCGGCCGTCGGCCTCGCAGCCAATGGACTGGTTTAAATGCGGTAGCATGCAGCCCTCGGGGCGCGACGCCCCTCTTCTTAAATTAGGTTAAATGGCGTCGGTGTCCGTATTTACAGACTTGAAACGTGTCAATCCTGAGCAGTTCTGATGTTCGTCTGAGACCGGCCGGTGGGAGCCTCGGTCTCGGTTTTAAAAAGGGAGGTCCGGACGGCGCCAGGCTGGCTGCTGCGAGCTGGATGGAGCTCTTCTCTCGGCCCGGAACTACCTGCTGCGGCTCGCACAGGCAGACCCTTCCGGAAGGGCTAAGCCAAGTAACTGTAGGTGTCCTTTTCCCCATCAACTCGCTCCAGATATTCCTTCTCGATCAGAATGTCAATGCATTTCTGGGCATTATTTTAAAAAAGAGAGAAGTCGTGACAGGAGGAAAAAACCACACATATTACCGAAGAGATGGGCCACCCTCACCGGGGATCTCCCCTGCACCACCGAGAGCCCAGTCAGGGCAATTCAGCCCATCCACCGCGTCCCCGAATGGAGTCCCGTCAGTGCCCGTCTCCTTAACGGCCTCGCTGAGGCGACCGAGTGTCTTCAGGGCCGGCACGGGGCCGCAGCCTCCCAGCACCCCAGGCGCCGGGCCGCCCGGGCTGGGTGCTGCGGAGGCCACGGGGCGGGAACCTCGCGGTCGCTCTGTCCTGAGTCACCGGCAGGGACTGGGGGGCGGTGGGGACTCCTGAACAAGCCAGCGCCCCACTGTCGGGGCCCCCGCACCGGCTGCCGGTGACCCGAGCGGTCTCAGGACGCCTCGGACTTCCTACCTGGAAGAAGCCCGCGGCTGCCCCTGGAGCCGGTGCTCACACAGCGAGGGGGAGCACCCCGTGGCCGGGCTACAACTGGGACACAGCCGAGCGGGAACTCTACAGGTCGTTTACACAGAGTCCCGAGGGAGGCGGAACTGCTGTGGGAGCGAGATTCGGGCCACAGGGGGCAATGTGGGGGAGGCAGCGAGGGGAAGCTTCGAGAACGCTGGTCACCTTCTAACTCTCGATTTGGGTCTTGGTGTACAAGTGTATTTACTCTGGGAAAATCAGCAAACCGGACACTCAGGACGCGTGCACCGCTCGGTGTACGTGTTTCGATAAAAGGTTTTAAGCTTAAGCCCATTTCCTTTTGTAGAAACCTAGTACGTATGGATATGCCAAGGGCCATCGGCCTCGTTTTCGTTACACCTTGCTCTCCCTAAACGACACACGGGCAGCTTCTGCCGTGTGACTCTTGTACCTTGATCACTGGGACCCGCGGCTTGAACCTCGAGGACAGCTGAGTCAGCACTTCTCCGAGCAGCTGCTGGTGCTTCAAGACCTTCCGCATCTTCATGATCCTCACGATGGCCGCCTGGTCACCCGTCACCCGGGGAGGAAAAACCGGGACATGTCACGGTTACAACCGTTCCGGAACATTCGGGACAACTAGCAAATGGGCCGCCGAGGGCCGTGTCCGCGCAGAGGACTGCGATTTCACACACGGTCACAAACGCACGGCAGGATATATGTTTCAACTCTAACAGAATAAACACGGTATACTTTGGTCTCCTCGGCAGTTTTAATAATTTCACCCAACTACAGAGCATTTTAAAAATGAGAAAACACGTCCCGAGATCACTGTTGCACTATCGGCTAACTTGGATGTCAATTAAAAAATTCATTTTTATATAGGGCATGGGGTGGGGGGTGGGGAGAAAACACGAGTCTGCAGAGCCGCAGAAGCTGCCTCGCTGTGACCCCCTCCCCTGTCCCGTCGGACGCGAACTCGCCACGTTCTCTGCGTCCATCCGCTTCCTTCCTCTGCTCCACTCGGGGCCCGTCACCGTCCCCACACCCGCTCCCAAGTCCCAGCCACCCCACGACCCCGCGGGGCGCCAGAGCGGCGTCACTCTCTGTGAGGGGTCACCACCCCGCGTGGGCCCCAAGTCACCTGAATCAGCAGCTTGCGGTCCTCCTCGATATTTTTGTGTGTGGTCTCTTGTTCCTGCTTCTGTTCGGTTTTCATCGGCACGTTGATGTTAACCCTTAACTTTTTACTGCCGGGAAAACGGAGGAGACCGATCGCTGTCGCTTTAAAGGACAGGTGCTCAAGGCCCGTGTGTGACCTTTAAGAAGCCTCTGCTACCCGAGCCCCGTCCCCGCGTCCCACTGGCCGGCCCCCCCGTCCCCCGAGGTAGTTTCCACCTCTGTGAGAAGCTCGGCCCCCAGCAGGCCCCAGGCCGCCGCCACTCGGTGGCTTCCTGCCCGGCCGGTAACAGGCCACCCGTGTCACGGGAGAGCCGGTGCCTCTGTCTGCTCTCCCAAATTTCGTCAAATGAGACAAACTCGAGGCACTGGGACAGACAGAGGCCCAAAGGTCCCCGGCCAGCCATTTAAGGGGACGCTTGCCCGGTGGAGAAACCGCCAGACACGGAACCGGAGGCAAGCGGCAGACGACCGAGGCCCACGCCGTGCCCAGCCTCCGTCCGCAGGGACGCGAGGGGACGAGTCTGTGGTCCAGGACCATCCACCTGGCAGATTTTCCTTACTTTTTATAACCGAGATACAATTTGATTAAGGTGTCTGGCTTCAATTCCACCTCATCAACGTTCGCGTTCTCGTCTTCCAGAACCTACAGGACAACAGCTGTTACCACATCATCTCAGGAAAAGGCTCTTGTCTAGCTCAACACGGAACGTGCACAGACATACCAGTAACTTCGACTTCAATAAAATCTGTAGGACTTGTGCCAAAATGTCCTGCAATTGAAGAGAAAAAGGTAAGTTGCATTTTTCTTTGCAACACAAACCACACACATACGACCTCATAGTTGATTTTTGGCAGGAACACAGGAGTCCCCCCCCAGACAGGAGAATGTACCCAGGGAGAAGGAGGTGGTGACTAGGAGGTCCCCTAAGTTCACTACCACCAGCGCCTACTCGTCAAAGGGAAGCCAACCCCTCTGTGGCTCTGACCACCTCGTGGTAAAAACTGCCGATTCGGTTACAAACGTTAGAAGCCACGCTGATCTCGTCACTACAGGAACCTATCCGTCCATCCTGGACACGGTCACCACAAAAGCAACGTCCGAGGGCTCCCGCACGACGGCGGAGGACGCTGCTCATGGATGCGAGGGACTCGGCGGTGGTGACCCCATCCTCCACCTCCTGCGGGGAGCCCCAGGCGCCACGTGGGGCCGCCGGCCGATTCCTCGCCTGTAAACGCAGGTGGCGGGTCTCGGCCTCCTCCTCCTTCAACTCTGTGACCCCGTGACGTGGACACCACCACCTGCCCAACTTCAGTCCCCCGGACGCACCCCATACCTCCTACCCTGGCGCACGGAACACCCCCCGCCTTTCACGGACACCCATTCTGGTCACGTGACCAGCTCAGATTCACAGGTCTGGGGCACTGCCGGCCACATCCACGGTGCCGCCACCAGAGGCCGCACTTCCGAGCCTGACCTGACAGGGGAGTGCTGAGCTCGGAGGCCAAGGCCAATGGCCCTGTCAGCCCCGTGGGGCAGGGCCGAGGGTGGCCTGAGCCTCCACCTGAGTCCAGCCCTCCTGACGAGATGAGACAGACTCTTACACACAAAGGGGCAAATTCACTCTGTCATTAGAATTTGAAGATGTACTCTGGATTGACTTGAAGCATCATCAAAAAATAAACACTTTCCTGAGGCCCCTGGGTGGCTCAGTCGCTCTGCTGTCTGGCTCTGGGTTTCGGCTCAGGTCATGATCTCACGGTTCGTGAGTTCGAGCCCCCACATCGGGCTCTGCGCTGGCACCCTGGAGCCTGCTTGGGCTTCTCCCTCTCCTCTGACCCTTCCCTGCTTGCTCGCTCTCAAAATAAATAAACAAACTTAAAAAATAAATACTTCCCTAAGTGACATTCAATAACGCCAGTGTTACCCTGTCAGCAAAACCAGACAAAAACATCCCAAGAGAACAACAGACCAATAACACTCCTATGAATGTAGATGTAAACTTCCTCAAGAAAATACTAGCAAACCAAGCCCAGCACATAAAGAATATCATATACATGCCCAAGTGGGGTTTACCCCAAGAAGGCAAGGGTGGCAACGTAAGAAAAGCAATGACTATAATATACCATATTAATAGACAAAAAGCATATTTTTATCTCGACAGAGCAGAAAAAGCAGTTGAACAAAATGCAACACTCTTTCATCATGGAAAGATTAAAAAAAAAAAACAAGACTAGAAGGGAACTTCTTTAATAAAGGGAATCTAAGAAAAACCTACAGCGATTGTCACCCTTAATAGTAACAAACTGAAGCTTTCCCCCAAGGTCAGGAACAAGACAAGGGTGCCTGTTCTCACTACCTCTAGTCAACACTGCGTGGGAAATTCCAGCCAGAACAATCAGGCAAGAAGAAAAAATAAAAGACATCCAAATAGGGAAAGGAAGAAGTAAAACTAGCTGTATCTGCAGATGACATGATACTGTGAAACCCCTAAAGAAGCCTCAAAAAAAAAAAAAAAAAAAAAAAAAAAAAAAAAAAAAAAAAAAAAAAAAAGTTCAGCCAGGTTGCAACATATAAAATCAATGCGCAATAATCAATTATATTTCCATATCCAGAAATGAACAATTTCGTTTCCAAAAGTACCAAACACAACACTTAGGAATAAATTTAACCAAAGTGCAGGCTTACACACTCACAACTGAAACACGTGAGAGGAATGGAACACAACCTACATAAAGAGAAAGCCGCTCACACCACGGACTGGAAGGCCCCCACTGGCAGGACGGGGACACCCCCCCAAAGCTTTGCACCCCCCAAAGCAGCCCAAAGCTTTGATGCGTCTCTATCACAGCAACAGCTGCCTTCTTTTGGACACAGACCAGCTAATTCTGAAATTCACATGGAAATGCAAGAGACCCAGAGGAGCCAACACAATTCTGACAAAGAACAAAGCTGGAGGTCTCTGTTTCAAAACTTGCTACAAAATAACCGCAAACAAGGCACTGGGGATTAAAGAACTACAGATCACCGGAAAAGAACGAAGAATCCAGAAATTAGCCCATTCACCTACGGCCATCTGATTTTCAACAGGGCAGTCCCAATCAACAGGGAAAGACGTCTCTAACCCTGAATCAGGCCCCGGCTCCTAAGCCCTGACCCTAAAGGCATGCGCGACAAAAGAAAAAGGGGCTCTGGGTACACAATATATAAGGAATTCTTACAACTCAACGGTAAGGGCAACCCAAATAAAAAATGGGCATGGGCAGAGCGTCTGAATAGACATCTCTCCAAAGAATAGATACAAACGGCCAGGAAGAACACGAAAAGACACGTCATCAGCTGTCGGAGAAATGCAAATCAAACTACCGACGATTGCAAATCAAACTACGTCATACCCACTAGGCCATAATAGCCGTAAAGAAAGGAAGCCAGGGTCGGGGGGCCCTCCCATGCTGCTGGTGGTGTGCACGTGAACTGGTGCCTGGCAGTGGCTCGGAAGTTAAATCGGTCACGACTCGAACGTTCCAGTCCTTGGCATCCACCCAAGAAAACTGAAAACAGGTTCTTACACAGACGCGCATGTGAATGCGCAGAGCATTGTTATTCCCAATAACCACACGTAGAAACAACCCCAAGGCCCACCAACTGATGAGGGGGTCAACATAACGTGGTCCACGCAGACGCTGGAACGTATTTCAGCTGGTAACAGAATGAAACATACACGCCATCACATGGAGAAACCCTGGAAACATGCCAAGTCAAAGGCACACACGTTCTGAAGCCATTATCGTGAAGAGCCCAGAGCGGGCAAATCCGGAGAGACAGGAAGTAAGTTAATGGGGCTCAGCGGCTGAGGAGAGGAGCAGAGGGTAGTTCCTGCTAACGGCTAACGGGTCTCTCTTCGGGATGACAGGTGTGTTCGGGAATCAAGACAGCGATGGTGGCTGTACGACCTTGTGAATAAACACTCAACTGTCTACTTTAACATGCTGAATTTTATGTACGTTAAATACAGCTCAATAAAAAATACGGCCAATAAACAAGAAGAAAGACACTGTAATCAAGTGATGTTTAAGCCTCCAAGGAAAAGCTTAGCTGGGAAGAGGGTTAACGCTGGGTTAAACGAACGTGCGAAAGCAGGTCATGTGCATCCGTGTGAAATCAGAGACCTCCGCGCCGTCTCCCCACCCCCTCCCTTCAACGCTCACAAGAGGAGACGGGAACTGGACACGTCACAGGGGCCAAGTAATGGGAAGGTACCATTTTGATCTGAGTGCTGTCAGTCAGCTGCTGCACAGCATACGCGTCTTCCGTGTTGTACTGAAGCAGGATCGCCATCTGGAAGGTGGATGCCTTCGAGGCCCCCCATATAAGAGAAAGAGAAACGGAATTTAAATGCGTGGAAAAGCCTCCAAAAATACACAGCTTAAGGCTGAAGTTACGTATGAAACAAATTCTCGCAAAACACGCACAACAGCAGGTCTATTTAAAAGAGAACACAAAGTGTCACAGCTCCACCGCGATGCACCGCTCTCCCAAAAGACGTCACTTACCGCCTTTCGAAGGTTAAAATAATTTGGAACTTTCTTCTAAGATGTTTTGTCTACGCAAATACACACTATTTATGCATCCACACTCATTTACATAAGCACGCGTAAAACACACAAATCCTCTTTAGGGGGAGAGACCCTAACGGACATCTTCCCTCTGCCACATACACACCGGGATCACGAGGAGGCCGTTCCAGTTACCCCGGGCCTCAGCCTCTCCCGTAGAACTGAAACGGGAGTCTAGCAGTTCTTATCACTTAGTAGTCGGTGCTGCCGAGAGCACCGAGGGTCAATATTAGCAGGAAACTGCTTTGCCAAAGGAAAAGGGCTATCGTCGTAATTCAGCACAGGAAACTCTGGCTTTTTGAACTACGTGGTGTGCATCGGGCAGGATCTGTGCCAAATGCTTATTAAACACATTATTTTACTTAATCTTCACGTCACTTCCAAGGTATAAGCACTGGCACCCCCATTTTATGGAGAATAAAACTGAGGCATCGGTGTATCACCTGCCCCTCAGCGGGAAAGCGTCCGAACTCCTCTGACTCTGAGAACCGCACTTTGCCGGAGGCTCGACCCTAGATTCTGACGCACGAATCACTGGATTCCGATTTCTACAACTTGTCTTATCCTCGTTTAGACTAAAAAAAATTTATTCCGAAACAGAGGGTGATCTTACCTGCAAAGTGTATCGATTTTTGAAGCAGTTGGTTACCAATTCTCCTTTGGACAGCTGATACAGCCAGGTCAGTTTTCTGCCACTGTGACGGCTAGCGTAAAAAGCTGTGAATCGCTGATAACTGCGTTCCAGCTGGATAAAAGGATAGCATTGTGTGGAATACGTATCTCACCCCAGTCCGTAGTCAGCACTTCCACATAAACACACCTCCAAACGTACGGTACAAAACGCTCACTACATAAACGTGAAACCCGAGCGGCGGGGGTTGGGGGTGGGGGGTGTGACTCTTGCAAGGCACACTGGTTGAGGCACGAGAGGAGAACGCGGAAACGCACTCTGACGGTCAGGCAGGCGGCCACCGCCACGGGGTTCGGCAGAGCACCGACGAGGCTCCGTGTCCGTGAGCCAGCTCGCGGGCCGTGTGGGCTGGCGCGCGCAGAGGAGGCCGGCCTCCGGACACCCCGCCCTGCCCGCCGCGCACTCGCCGTGGGCTCGCGGCCAAGGCCGCCCTTTGCGTTCCGCCGGGCACTAGCAGAACACGAGACGGAGCCGCCCTCACCTCTGACGGCAAGGCGAACGTGCAGGACTGCTGGAAGGGCCACGACCCAGAGCTTAGCACCTGGATGCTGAAGTCCACTAAGGTGGGGTGAAAAGGCAGGAACACGGTTAGTCCCACACACTGAAAGATGCTGCCGTTCAAATAAACGTGGACTGCTTCGTATTAAAAGAAACACACCGAATGAAAACACTCTGCTTCAGTAGGAAATTAAGAACCAGATGTATTTCAGTTAAATGATTTTACTCCGTGAAAATCAGTGAAAGGTCAAAGAGCCAGAAACTCTTTTCCTCAGAGCTACGACATCAGATGCCCGCCCCGCTTCCTGTGCGTCAGCGCCCTGCTGGCCTGGGGTCCGCTCAGGCGCCCCCAGCTCGCCGGGCACGGACACTGCGGCAGCCGCAACTCAGGAAGCAAAACCCCCAGACGTGAACAGCCACCTTCGGTGTGTTTCCTGTGCGCCCACTACTGCCGACACCACCGCCCCCCCAACACTACACGTAACACAAACTAAATCAGAACAAAAGTCTCATCAGTACCAATAGCTGACGAGCTCACTGGCAGAACTGCCAAGTTTAACAGTAGAATAGCGCTTCAGCTTTGGGGAGAAATGAAATTCCCATTTTTCATGTGAAAAGACAACATTAACAAGTAATGATGTCTGCATCGTCCGCCAACATCCCCCAGAGCGGACCTGACGGGGGGCGGGTGCGGCCCTGGGAGCGAGTCCTGGCACCATAGGGATCGGGAGCCATGGAGTCTTTGGTTAGTTTGACTCTGTAATCTATACACCAAGTCAGTCTCTTATAATTCACCCAAAAAAAAAAAAAAAAAAAAAAAAAAAAAAAAAAAAAAAAAAAAAAGCAAGAACTGATCCCAACTAAGGTTAAAGAAATTTATGAAGTATTAAACCGTGTGGAGCCCTGAGCTGGCAGATATCCCGGGTGGGGTGGCCACGCCAGCAAGTGGAAAAGCCCAGGGCTCAGCCCTGGGTCCCCTGGGAGAGGCCGGTCATCTCCTAGGCTCACACGCGACTCAGGAAGACCATCTGGGAGGTGGCACTTGCTGTCTGTCCGTCCCTGAATCCCTGATAAAGCACCGACCACCCTCACGTAACACTCTGTCATCTCTGTCGCCTGCCACATAGGGCACGGACTTCCCGAAGAACACTGCCTGTAAAAGCAGCTCATAAACACGTGGGTACTCACAGTCTAGCGGTTCTGAGTTCGTCAGGTGCTTTTTGAACTGCTCATTCAAATCTTTGCTCACACCAATGTCTTGAAACATCCGCTGAAGTTTAGAGGTATATTCAAAACCACAAGCTTGCTGAAATGAACCCAGACAACCGTCTCATTAATTTCTATTAGAAACAGAAGTGTATATAAGGGAATCTGATGGAAATCACACACGACATAGGCTTAACCGTAGAAAATGACTACTGAAGCTAGTGACACTGAACCACATCTCACAGCATCAGTATGTGCAGATTCAAACCAGTAGGCTACTATTCACACAATAAGTATCATCTGAGCACCTAAGAGCAAGGATCTCTAACGGAATGCGAGGAGGACATACTTTGTTTACTACTCTTACCCACTGTTATCAGCTGACACGTGTGCCCCCCAAACTCCAGCGCTAAAGCCCTAACCCCCAGTGTGATGGTATCTGGAGGCGGGGTCATGAGGAAATGATTATGTTTAGATGGAGTCACCAGGATGGGATCCTCGTGATGGGATTAGCGCCCGTGTAACAAGGGACCAGGGTGCTCTCTGCCTGCCACGTGAGGACACGGCGAGAAGGTGGCCGTCACCAGGTTGGGAAGAGAGTCCTCACCAGAAACGGACTCAGCCGGCCCCTCGACCTTGGTCTTCCCTGCCTCCAGAACTGGGAGGATAGACCTGGGTGGTTCCAGCCTCTAGTCTGTGGTATTTTGTTACGGCAGCTTGAGCAGAATTAGCTACCCATACAACAGTAATTTCAGGTCTCAGACACGTGACAGCGCCTGGCAGGCCAGGAGGCACCGAAACAAGAGCAGGCAGAGGGCAGAGGTGGCTGAATGACAAAACAGGTGCTCAACGGTGGAGTCCGATGCCTTCTGTCCTCCTGAGGATGCGACCACTGAGGATGTGAACTAAACCCGGAGCAAAACAAAACACCTGCCAACTCAAAGTCGACCCAACACACGTGTGGGCTCAGCCACTGGAGCAGTTCGGGGGGAGACGGGGGGGTGGGAACCAGCTGGCGCTCCGGTGGCCAGTGCGGCACAGCCCGGCCAACGGAACCAAGGGGCCCCCGAGGGCGGGGCGGATGGTCAGCAAAGCATGCGGGGCCCAGGACAGCCCGTGCCGTTCGAACTCCATTAGCTACAGGCCACCGACGACAACCTGGGACAATGAAAATCTTTCACAGCGATTTGAAAACTTTTTTTTCTGGAAATGATGAAATTTACCTTTAGTTTAGAGATCATGCTTGCTTCGGCATCATCACTGGCACTGTTCTGATGTACGAGTCTTTTGGCCAGCATCTTTGCATAGAATTTCTGGAACACGTCTTTATCCTCTATATACTTGAAGACCACCATCTAGTGAAGTCACCAAGAGAGCACACTTAGTGCACTGAAAAGCCACAGTCACCGAACACACGCCGGCAGCTGACACGCGTGCTTTGTTTTGTCCGGCCTGTGTGCCAACGTTTACGATGGCTACAAATACCACCCGTAGTCTTGAAATATTTTTGTCAACCGCTGAAACCACATTAACTTGGTCTAGACTCGGCACTAATGAGGAAAGTACAAATGCTAAAATTCATGACTCAGTTTAGGGAGTAAAACCACAGATTCAAAGCAAAATAAATGACCCAATGACTTTTCACATTCCAGACACCCTGTACCAATAACCTTAAAAGCTGCAGAGAAATGGCTACCGGGAACGGTGCGTTAGCAAGCGCCTTACCACTTGGTTGAGCGTGTCTTCTAGCTCTGCTTCTTCTGGGTTCTTGGAACTGAAATGTAAAAAGAAGGCATACTGTTTTCAAACAGATCAGCCAACAGTTGTTAATGAGCAAGCACCACTCGGCTAACACAACAGAATGTGGCTGTGAACACTCGAACACTCAGTTCTGTCCAGATGAACGCGTGAAGACAGAGGCAAAGTTGTCTTACTTACGGCTGCGTGGCGATCTTACGCTGAAACTATCGCGGAAGAACCCGCTTACAAAATAATCGACATCCAAGATGAAAAGCAACGGAAGACACTTATAAAAAGCTCCCCCAGACATTCAAGTTTTCCTTTCAGATAATCTATTTAAATACAAATAAATAAAAGCCGAAGGCCTTCTACAATATGCTCTAACTTTGAAAAAAATGAAACAGGCATTTAGTTTTTGAGTGGCCTAAACATTAAAGATAATGAAAGGATCTCAAGCACTAAAGCACCACCTTCCTCTGGGGTTATGTCTACACAACAGAGAGTTGTCTTTAACAACTGATTGATTCATTCTATTCTATGAACAAGTATTAACTGAAAGGTTACTTCAGGGTAAATGCAATTTTTCAGGGTCTACGAGTCCCTCATAGACAGATTCCCCATAAATTTACATCGAATGATCCAGCCACCAACCAAGCTCTGGAGAGGTGCCTCTACCTAAGAACACGTGGCTCAGAAAACCCAGCCCCCCTCTTCACAGGGCCTGGCCGGGGCCACTGCCCCCTGCGGGAGAGCCTCTCTTCTGAGCCCCCTTCACTCGGGAGGAGCGTGTGCTCACGGACGTGGTGCTCTCAGCGGCCTGTCGTCTGTCTGCTGCCCCAGCCTCAATTACAACAACATAGCAAGAGACTTGATGAGGGCCCCTTAGGAAAAGGCAATGCATAAAAGGGACAAGTGCCACCAAACGAAATGAGGGCCTACTAAAACATGTAATTAAAAAACACTGAAGATTTTTATGTAATAGCCTAAAGAAAAAAAAAGTTAACAGCAGGTCAGAAGAGGCATTCCAATGTGAAGTCCATGTTTATTCCTGGAAAGAATACCTGCATGGATCTGACTACAACTGCTAAATACTACACTGACCAGCACTGCAAGAAACAGAGGAAACCCCCCGAATACTCCATTCTCACTGGCCTTGGGGAAATGGCTTTCTGGCAAAGTTCAAGAGCTAGCTAGTGACCTCATCAAAGGTTTCCCCATGTCTGTCAGGAAGACCACACAGTCGTTAACACAGTAAGTTACGTTAAATTTGCCACCACTGAGCCATCACTAGAAAGCTACTGTGTTCTGGAGAATTATTCTTAGTTCCCTGATAAATTTAGCTTGCTAACATTTGACTTAAGATTTCCCCGACTCTACTCTAGGAGAGACTTGTTCGCAGTGTTTTTCTCGGTACGGGCAGGCGTTCTCCGTCTTTTCGCAAGGGGGCTACGCAAGCTCGTGAGAGCTAGTACGTTAACATCAAAACCAGGACCGTGTGGAAGCGTGGACAATGCCTGCGGCAGCATTTGCCGAGAGATCTCTGGAAAAGTGAGACAAGCCTTGAGCGCTTCCGAACCGAGAGGAGCCGTCCAAGTGAACGAGAAACGAGAAGCTAAGAACACCCAAACAGACGCGCAAAACCCGGAATGCTGGAAGCACAAGGCACAGAGAGACCCACGCCGGTCGTGCTTCTAGCTCTCACTACACCTGCACACACGCACACGCACGCACACACACACACACACACACCCTGAGCAGGAAGAAGAGCAGGTGAGAAACCTGGCGGCTGAAATACAAAGAGCACGAGGGGCCCCTGGCTGGCTCAGTCGAAGAGCCCACCACCCTTGAGCTCAGGGTCATGAGTTGGAGCCCCATGTGAGGTGTAGAGATTACGTACACACATAAACTTAAAAAACAGAGAGAAAACAGAGAATGGCAATAAAACAAACTCATTAAGCGAAGATCAACGTTAGAAGCGCACACGACAACACAAGTGCCACAGTAGCGCTGAGTCTCGTGTCAGGAACGGCCAGTGGGAGCTCCCAAAGCAGCCTCGCCCGGAAACACAAGCGAGCTGGGCCCAGAGAAACGGGGAGCACAAGAGAGACGCTGACTTCCCGCGTCCTTTCCGCCCTTGTAACCACCGCTCGGCCAGCCCACGGAAGTGGATTCGGCTAAAGGGGCCACACTGCTTGCAGTTCTCAAAGCCAACCCAACGGTGACATTAAAAAAAAATGAACTGGGCCTAGAGTATAGGACTTGAAGTATCTTTCAAAGAGACAAGGAAGATGTATTAGGTTTGAAGTATTTTCTCAAAGGTACAAAAATTACAACAGAAGTAAAACGTAATATAAAGTTTAATTCCTCATATATAAGCTGAGAGTTTAAACAGATTTACTAAGAATAAAACACAATGTCACTTAATACCTTTTCTTCAACAAGGAGTCGCAGTATCGAGCCAGCAACTCGGGGGATTTACTGGACGACTGGGCCATTTTGGTAACTGCGTTGTTGTTGATGAAGCGACCACAGGCCTGTGGAGCACACAAAACACGGTCAGAGGCCACGCACAC